ACGCCAAGCATACATCGCAATCGCCACAACATTGGTTTTGTAAACCAAGTTGCGGGTGGGTGTGTGAGATAAGAGCATGGGATGTGTGAGCTCGATTGTTGCAACAAAAAAACTGCACCACACATATTGCGCCACATATATTACGCAACAATGATTGCACAACGAAAATTGCACAACGTAGTTTGCACCAAGTAGTCTCTTCACAAACTAGATTGCACCACGCATGCCCGGTCGTCCAACCGAAACATGAATTTGTACCATCCCAGGCAGGCCGGCATCCCCCCATGATCCCTTGCAAGAGTAACTACGCGCGCACATTCGTTGATCAACAATAACAACTTCCCAACAATCGTTTTTCAACAAGCGGGACGAAATGCGCACGCGCGCGTCGTCGGGCGCGCATGCCGACATCCGTCAAATCTTGGGTTTTCGTAGGATTGTTCAAAATCAAGTGCCCAGTATACGTATAGAAAACGAATGATATCGCAACAACAAAACAAAAACGTGTTTTCGGGTTCTTGCGAACCCTTGAGAAAACCGGAACAATCGCTTCAATATTCTCATCACGTGTTGCCAAGCGGGCCCCGGGCGCGCGCACATCGAAAACGTTCGAACGACCGTGCCCGCATGCTGTTGCAAGCATCCTTGGCAAAAAAGGAAGTGGCATGCACGAGCGCGCTCCGTTGCGCGCGCGTGCCGGAATCCGTCAAGAACCTAGGGTTTTTTTGAGGGTGAAAATCGAGCGCCCCCCAAACATGAAACACATGGTTCTGCAAGTGGGTGGGCTGATTGCGCGAGCAGTGGAGTTGACGACTCACTGCAAACAGAAAATAATTGTCCTCTAAAGTACTACACGGGTATCCCCTCCCTGGGGTCAACGTTCCACCATTTCGTATTGCAAAGTATGCGCGATGTTGCTCCACCGTCCTTTCAAAATATGAAGTCGTACCATCCCAGCCCAGTCGAAGTTTGGCCCCTCCCCCCCTCATCTTCTACAGAAAATTCCCACGCGCGCGCACTTGTTGATCAAGACTCATCTGTTGCCAAAAATCATTTGCAACATATGGGGCGAAGTGCAAGCGCGCGTCGTTGCGCGCGCATGCTGGAATCCTTCAAAAGCCCCAGGTTTCGGAAAGATTTCGAAATCGAGAGCCACGAAAGCATTGACAAACACAATGTTTCGGAAAGGAGGATTTCAAAAAAAACCTGCGCCCGCACGATTGCGAATTTCCCAGAACACTTGAACAAGTTTTTCTGTAGTATTGTAGCATGCCAGCAAATCACTCTCTCGCGCGCGCATGTCGAAATCGTTCGAACGCTCTGGCGCGCGCGCTGGCGCGGGCGGCGCGCGCACGCGCTCTTCGTCGCGCGCGCATGCCAGAACCCTTCAAAAACCCTTGCGGTGTCGCAAGAGTTTCAAAAAACCAATGTCCCGGACAAGTTAAAACCAAACATGTGGTTTCGCAGCGTCAGTCTTCAAAATAATCCTGCGCTGGCGGTCTTGGGGATCCTTGAGAAAAGCGTGGGATCCCCAACATGTTCATCGCATCCTGTCTGTCAAGCGGGCCTCTCGCGCCGCACATCGAACTTATTCGAACGCCCTTGCGCGCGTGCTCGGGGGGGGGAAACACAATCCGTGTCAAGTATTACCACGCGGGCTAGTTGCGCGCATCGGCCGCGTGCGCATGTCGAACTCCTTCAAAACCTTCATCGCCGTCGCGAGGACGTCGTCATCGTTATCGGCGGGCGCGATCAACATCAGCGCCGTCATTGGCGTTGCCGCCGTTATCGCTCACCGACATCGTCACCATCAGCGCTACTCCCACAATCGTGTCAACCGTTGTCGGCGACGCCATGATACGCAAGCGCCCAAGTCGCCGACTCGCAATGAAGTGCCCGCTGGGAAATGCCCAGCGGTCAGCGCCACCAAGGCCGCGTCGACCGCGCCAAACTAGCAGGCCGCTGTGCACGCAAGCATGCGCGGGCTGGCGCAGCCGCAAAGATGCATCTGCCAACGCCAAGCACTAATCGCAATCGCCGCCGCATGGGTTACTCGAACCAAGTTGCGGGTGGGTGGGTGGGATGATTGCGAGAGCGGTGGAATTGACAATTCACTGCGCACAGAAAGCCGTTGCACCACACACACACACAATGTACCACATAGATTCTCCTTTCTAACAAATAGGCTCTACCCCCCCCCGGCGTTATCGGTCCCCCTTTCGGGTATGTAAATCACATACGATTCTGGCCACATGCCCATCGTACATATGAAATCACAATGTCCCAGGCCAGTCAGTATCCCCCCCTGAGGTCCCCTTGTAATAAAAAAAAAAAAAAAAATGCGGTGACATTTGCTGTTCTAACATAGCATTTTTTCGCGAATCCTTTGCAACAGATATGACGAAGTGCACACGCGCGCGTCGTCGCGCGCGCATGCCGAAATCCTTCAAAAACCTTCGGTACACAAGTTCCCAATTTAGACAAGATAACGTACATAATCCAACACAAGTTCCCAGACTATGGTATGACTATGTTCGAAGATCCCCCCCATGTAGAGGGACCTGCCCGCCTTGGCGCAAAGACAAGGGGAAGGGAGAGGAAGCATAACACCGCGGTTCACGACATGCGTGGCGGGGACGCATCCATCACACCGCCAAGGGGATCGATCTCCTGGGGCCTCGGCAGGCAGACGCTATGGACATATTCAGCCCCCGCCGGGTCTTAGAGATGTGTAGGTCCACCGCCTTCCGGGACCCCCGAAAATCGATCCCACAAGCGGGGGTGACGTATCCGTGCGGTCAGAAACGATCGGTCCGTCGATCCGTGACGGGGTCCGTGGCGGATCCATGCGGTCAAGAGCGGATCAATGACGGATCCGTGACGGAACCGTGCGGGTCAAATGCGATCCGTGACGGATCCGTGCGGTCCGTCAATCCCCGCCTCGGATCAAGTGCGAGCTGGGGGGCAAGACAACGTCTCTGCCCTCAGGCTGCGCTCGTGGGGGTGGCACTGGGACGGGCTTTGGAGCCCGCCGGCACGGACACGAGGAGCGCCACTCGACGAGGCGGCTCCAGAGCGTTACGAAAATACGACGGACAGGATAGAGGCCTCCTAGATGGGGTCGAAGTAAATGGAGTCGAAGGATCGCGCCGCATCGCCGGTGCTTCGCCGATGCATCGGCGATGCATCGGCGATGCATCGGCGATGAAGTGGAGATGCGCCAGCGATGTCCGCGATGCATTGGCGCCGTCGGCGTGGCGAAGGTCAGGCTCTGTCTGCATCGAGCCGCATCGCCGATGCACTGGCGATGCGGCGCGATCCTCCGACCCCATCTACTCGGACCCCATGTAGGAGGCCTCGACAGTATGGTCAAAGGTTCGAGGACCGGGGTTCGGGGATCCAAGTCTTTCTGCGCTTTCGGTCCCGCTTGGGCCTGCGAAAGCCTCCTGAGGTCTCCAGGGACGTTCTGGGGCCTCTGGGGACCTCCACGAGAAATGATGGGCCGAGAAGGTAGGGACAGAAGGTATCCTTGGAAAGTCACCCCGTCCACTTGGGGACCCCAGCTGGCAACGGTGAGACAAGCGCGGCAGAAAGCATGCATTTTTTCGGAGGTCCGCGCGGATTTCCACGGTTGGGCCCCCTTCAGGGCCAACGCTCTTTCAAGTTTCTGGAGCTGGTGATCTCGGGCTCACAAGCAGCGTCTCGGGAGCGGCCAAGAGGGGGGTGTCCAAGAGGGGGGGTGCAAATCATGACCGGCGGCATGTGCGCGGCCCAGCGGGGAGGCCAGGGACGTAATGGAATGAGAAGAGGCGCCACGAAATCTGGGGAGATATCATGGCCCCCGCCATGATATCCCCCCCCCTAGTCATCACCCCCCTGTTTTTTGGCCCCCGAGCGTCGGCGGCCAACAATTTCCAACGACCCCTTCCCGGGGAGCAGCCCGACCTTATAGCTCGTGACCGGCCCCTTCGCCGAAGAGATTTGCAGCATACCCTCGAGCGAAACGCCCTTGAATAAGGCTGACATGGGCCCTCCACGTGCGCACGTCACCAACCAGCCTCGAACGTATCCCTATCCCTAAGATGGGCGAGCAAAAAGCGAGGACAATCTCAGGGATAGGCCCTCAAACACTGAGGGAATCCTTAAGGTCGGCATCGAGGTGAGGTGATGTCAAACATAGGGATAGGGATATGTTCCAGGCTGGTAAGTCACCGCGTACCCAGTACACCCAAGCGGGGTAGCGGGTAGCTATCCAGCGTCCCACCCCAGCAAAAACGGATGTATCCAGCGAGACATGCGTCGATTGGCGAATCCGACTGGGGACTGCACCAGCGCACTCGAGTGCCCATGTCGAGGGAACCAGTGCCGATGTCCTCAGTCGACTTGTCTGGGTGGGAGTTCTCTCGATGCTCGACTTCGCACTGCTGTCGAGCTTAGCGTGCTTTCGTGCGAAGGATGGATGGGAGGAGCAGCAGAAGGAACATCAGGAGGAGGAGGAGGCGGAGGAGGCGGAGACGGAGGAGGAGCAGCTGGGCGCTCAAGCATCCTCGGAGTGCAGGCTGGCTCCCGCTGGAAACAGCGGGGCGAAGATCCAATGCGCCTGGAAAAGAAGCGCGGCTGCCATTCAAGCTACTCAAGACAATTCGCTGGAGTGGTGTGGAGGAAGGGGATTCCAGACCACCTCGCGCTGTGAACAGATCCACGACGGAAAGTATACGTGTCAATGTTCAGACTCCTGGGGCCCCCAAGATGGAAAGCCAGCTCTCAAGGTGCGGGCCTCCGGGGATCCACGCTGTGAAAAACAATGACGTCGGAGGCCTGGGTGTCTGAAAGAAGCGAATAAGGAATAGAAGAAGGGCGCGGGAAAAGAAAACCGCGAGACGTGCGACCCATGCGCTAATGTTGAGCATGAGCACCCCCCCAGCCTCACCACCGACCAGACCATTCTCAGCACCACTGTTCGCGACAGGCAGACAAGCCACTTATGCACCTGGATCGCCTCAGATGCCAAAGTCGCCGGCGCCGTCACCGATGCCGCCGCCGAAGCGCGGGTCGTTACCGGTCCACACGGCGAAGAATGCAATGAGCGCCCAGGTGCCCACGACGGTGAGCACGAAGAAGATCGGCGTGTCCCACTCCCCCTGCTCCTGCTCCCGTCTGGTCGGCGAGATGACCGCCCACATGTTTCCGCGCTTGTCCTGGTCGATGGTCTGGCCGACGTTGGAGCGCTTGCCAAGGATGGATCGGCTACACACAGGAGTGACCCTATGGTTAGGTCGGGCATGTCCTCGTACAGGCGGATTTGTATATCATGTTCGAATCTTCTTCCTGTAGAGGGACACGCCCGACTTGACCTCAGGGGCAAGAGCGACCTTTGGCACGCGGCTTGGCGAGCGCTGCGCGAGATGCAACAGCGGCGGGCTGCCTCCCCGCGCTCCCCGAGAGCCGCGCACAGGAGGTCACCCTTGGCGACGGGCCACTCTTGCGCGCAGCCGAATGGACGTGTCTGGCGACGGGAGGTCGTAGTCGACCTTCTCCTTCCGAGGAGCAAGCAACATACACGAACACAGCCTTGTGTTAGGTCGGGCACGCCCTCCTACAGGCGGGTTTTGGACGAATGATGAAAGGGTGTCCAAAGTATGCCACACAGCCAAAAATAGTCAGGAAATCGTCCCCGTGCTATTTTTGACAATATTTGGGGATCTTTCCCCGTGGAGGCCCGCGCGGCTGCCTTGGATCGGCGCGGGGACCCCCCGCTCCCTGGAGCGCGGAGCGCGCCGGGGTCGGCCCCGCGGAGGCGCCGCGCCAGGGGGGGCTCCAGCGCCGATCCGAGAACTCTGCGCGGACCTCCGAAAACTTCCCGGACGACGTCGTGAATAGGGGGAGGGGGAGGAGGAGGAGGAGTAACGGGAGGAGTAACGGGAGGAGGGGGAGGAGGGAGGTGGAGGAGGAGGAGGAGGAGGAGGAGGAGGAGAGGCGGACGAGGACGGCAGAGGAGGGGGGGGGTGGAGGAGGGGGGGGGGAGGAGGAGGGAGGAGGAGGAGGAGGAGGAGGAGGAGGAGGAATGACGTGCCCCTCACAAGCCTCGACCCCTTCCCGGGGACCAGTTTTTCCTCCCGAGGTCGTTTAAAAAAACGGTCCCGAGGCCCGGGGAGGGGCCCCGGGAGGCCGAAGGTGGCGAACAGAACCTCCCGTCGTGACTGTTCCACGGCGCGAGGGGGTCTGGGTCATGCGCATGCATACTGTCGGTAAATCCTCCTCCTCCTCCTCCTCCTCCTCCTCCTCCTCCTCCTCCTCCCTCTCCTCCTCCTCCTCCTCCTTCTCCTCCTCCTCTTACCAAGTGGCTGAAGTCACCGTGTTTTGAATTAGATATGGTGGATGAATCCCTCCGTGCGTTGCCCCAAGGTCGTGAGTTGCACATCGCGGGGGGTGTAGCATGCAGTAGTCATGATCTTCGGTTTCACGTTGATGTGCATGTGTGGTTATGTTGTGCATGTGGTATGTGGCCGAAGGTCTACAGCAAGGCCGAGCAGGTCAGGAGAGCACAGAAGGGGCTCCCGTTCTAGAGTGGTTTGGGACGCCGCCCTGGGACTCACTCACTCACTCCCTCACTCCTCCTCCTCCTCCTCCTCCTCCTCCTCCTCCTCCTCCTCCTCCTCCTCCTCCTCCTTCTCCCCCCCGTCCTCCTCCTCCTCCTCCTCCTCCACCTCCTCCTCCTCCCTCCTCTAGGTCCCTGGTCCTTCTCCGGCAGCCCCGCGCGCAGCGCCACGGAGGGCGCGCGGGCGGGCCGCGCCGCGCCGGGCGCGAAGGCGAGGAGCGGCGCGGCCAGGCCGCAGGCCGCGGCCAGGGCGCCGCAGAGCGCCGCGGCCGCGGGCAGCAGCGCGGCGGAGCGCCGGGGAGCCATTGATCGGGTGGGCGGGGCGGGCGGTGGGTCGGGCACGTCTTCCTACAGGCGGACTCTGGAAGAAGACTCGCCATCGCTCGGACGTCCGTTTCCTCTGTTTTTTCCGGTTTCGTGCGTGGCTTTTTCGCCAAATCATCAAGGACGCTCCTCGAGGGCCCTCGCCGAAGGCAAAAAGCACACGTCCGAGCGATGCCAAGAAAAACAAGACATGGTCAGAGAGGGACATGGTCCCTCAGACCTCAGACAGACGTTGGACTCGGACAGGGTCAGAAGAAGATCGAAAAAGCGTCCCCAGAGGTTGTTTTGACTATGCCAAGATACCCTTCCTGAAAACTAAAGCAGGCTCCAAAAATGCTCGGAAAGAATCCGAGCAGACAAGACAAAGCGTCCCCAGACCAATGTATGACTAGTTGGGAGCATTCCTCCTGAAGAGAGGGGCATGCCCGACTTAGGGCTGGCGGCCTTCGCGGAGGGCGGGAGGCCCCGAGCTCCGACAATATGGGTTCTGCCAGCCAGCGGGTCGTCGTCGCCGTCGCCGTCGCCGTCGCCGTCGCCGTGGTCGTCGTCGTCGTCGTCGTCGTCGTCGTCGTCGTCGTCGTCGTCGTCCCACGGGGAAGCGGTCGGGACCTCCTGGGGGCCGCGGATGGCAAATAACCATATCGGCGGAGGGCGGGAGGTCCGGGCGCTGCTGGGAATTAGACAAACGCCTGGGCCGAGGTGACTGCGGATGAGCAACAGGAAGACGCGCGCGGACAGTGGAAGGCATGTCGGCGTGCAGCAGAGAACGGCGCCTTCTAAGAAGGCGGCGGGGCATCTAAGAAAGTAGAAGCCCGCCCGGCTGCTAATATAGAAATAGAAGCACGCCAAAAACATAAGCTTTCGGCACTCCGCGCGGATTTCTTGGATCTGCGCCAGGCCCCCCTCCCTGTCGCGCAGAGCGCGCCAGGGGCAGCGCCGGAGGCGGCGCTGGGGGAGGCCCAGCGCGGATCCAAGAAATCCGCGCGGCGCCAAAAGTTTATGCTTGTGGCTTTTTTCCGTATCCGATGAGAGGCCCTCTCGGGAGCCTCCAGGGCCTTCCAGGGAGGCCCCCTGCCCTCCGAAGAAGCCCCTCCACCTTCTCGGTGGGCCAGGCTGGCGGCCTCGCGAGGAGGGCGGGAGGACCCGCTGGCTCCGACGATGTGATGTTTTGCCGCCAGCGGCTGCGCCTCGATGGTCGTGCTCGTGGGGCCCGTTCTCCGCGGATTCCCCGAGGCCAACGTGCCCCCCCCCCTTCAGTGGCAACTTATGGGAGCCTCCCATACCTTTTTGTCGGCTCTTGCGAGTCGACGCTGATCGACGCTAGTCGACGCTAGCCGACGCTAAATCGACGCTATCTCATCGACTCCACGACGCTAATCGACGCTAAAGACTTACTTCAGATGGTACACCAGGCTCCCATGCTTTGCCACCGACCTCCCCCGGGAAGCGGTCGGGACCTCCTGGGGCCGATTGAAAATGCCGCATCGGCGGAGGGCGGGATATCCAGATATCCAGGCGCTGCTGTAGGCAAGGAACAGCTGCATAAACATGAACTGTCGGATTGATTGATTGATTTAATGAGCTTTCTGCGGGAACCCAGTCTGGCTAGGGCGCGCACACAACACATGCACTGTACCAACATCATCGCACAACAATGACATCCCGCTCTTCGGCGGCGTGAGGCCTGCAGGGTTTTCCTCAGTGGGTGGGCGGGCAGGTTCAGGCCAAGGGGGAACATCGAGCTGGACTCGGCGATACGCCGCCGACAGAACGGCGATAGGCCCTCGATAGCGGCGGCGCCCACTCCTGGCCAGGGGGCGCCCTATCGGGCCCGCGTCGGCGATGAATGGAAGATGGGAACGAGGAGGAGGAGGAGGAGGAGGAGGAGGAGGACCCCCCCCCCTGACGTTGCCCGTTGGTCTTCGGGCCGGGGCCTGGCGCGGCTCTCCGGCGGCCGCTCGGGGCGACGCGGGCACCCAAAGGAGCGCCCTCGGCGAGGCGCGGCCTGCTGGGAGGCGCCCCGGGGCTGGAAAAGGCCGCCGGGAAGCGACGGGCACGCGCCTGGAGACCTCGAACCTCGAGCCCACCTCTGGCCATCGCTCGGACGTCCACTCCCTGTGTTTTTTTTGGGGGTTTCGTGCGTGGCTTTTTCGCCAAGTGATCAAGGCTGCTCCGGAATGCACACGTCCGAGCGATGCCAGGACCTCGAACCTCGAGCCTGCTCCCAGAAAGGACAGGAGAAGGCGCCATAGGCACAGACTTTTGGCGCTTCGCGCGGACTCCTTGGACCTGCGCTGAGCCCCCCCTCCCTGGCGCCAGCGCGGATCCAAGACATCCGCGCGGAACGCCAAAAATTTACGCTTGTGGTGTCTTCTCTTCTCGGACGCCCCCCCGCCACGACGATTGCCCCTGACGGTGCCGGGACCCGGACAGGGCCCGAGCCGAGGTGGAGCAGCGGGGGGAGGGCGGGGCAGACAGGAGGCGCGCCCTGGGCTTAGGTCGGGCGTGTCCCCCTGCAGGCAGAGTTTTGGACGACAAACGTATAACAAATTGTCGCACACATGCCCAAACATGTCCTCGAAAGTACTCGAAAGAAGATCGTCTCCCGACTGCTTGTGGACTGTGTTTGAATGCCCCTCCTGTAGAGGGACACGCCCGACCGAAAAAGGCGAGCGGCGCAGCTGCCGGGCAAACGGCGTGGTGCCCGTGCCCTGCCGGGCTGGGCGTGCGGGGCCCGGAGGGGGTCGTGGGTTGTCGGCGTGATGTTTGAGGCCTTCTGGCGTGCTCGTCGGTTCGCGCTCTCCCCCTCGCCGTCGTCGTCGTCGTCGTCGTTGCGGTTCGCGTGCGCCGTCTCTCTGTTCGACCGCGCCAGTCTCGCCTCTTTCCGCCAGCGCACCTCTGACGCGCACGGCTTCTCTCTCTCTCTCTCGTCGTTTGTTTTGTTTGTTCTCTCTCTCTCTCTCTCTCGTCGGTTCTCGGCCGATCTCCACCACAGTCGGGACGCCGTCCCGCAGCTGCGCCTCGCTGTGTTCGCCTCCTGGGAGCGCCTGGGGATCGTCCCGAAGGGCCGCCAGAGACCCGATCTAAGATGGCCCGAAGACCAGAGGAGGCAACGACAGGGGGGGGGAGGACGGGCTCCGAGGGGGGCGGGATGGGGGGGACATCGAGCTGGAATCCGCCGATAAAGGGTCCTGGCAGCCAGCCCCGCCCAGCCACGTGCGGAGTCGCTGTCGGGGGCCCATCGCCGAGCGATCGGCGGCGCATCGCCGACTCCAGCTCGATGCCCCCCCCCCCCCTGGAGCTGGTCCCCACCTACCGTTGCCGATTTTGGGCGGCCAGTGGAGCCCCGCATTCGCGTGCACGTGCGGCAGGGGGAAGGCGATGCTCAACCTGAGATCGGGGCCGTCGCCACTTTTTTCGCACGCGGCGTTGCCATGTGTTCGCACGCATCGCGTGCACGTGCACGATGCCGACCCTGAGATCGGGCCGTTGCCATTTTGTTCGCACGGGGCGTTTCTGCCAGGTTCAGGGCCCCGGGGCCGTCACAGATCGATCTGGATCGAAACACACGACAGACAGATTGGGTCCAGGGGGCAGGTCGTGTTCTGTCGCGACGTCGCATGTGTTTCACAATGCCGGACCTCAGGGGAGGATGCGAGCAGGAAGAGGGCAGCCGCAGAACGAAGGATGGGGACGGGGTCCAGGTCGGAGAAGCAGCAGCCAGAGGGCCAGGAGGTGGAAGAGGTGGTGATGCCTTGGACATTCTAGCCAGGGCCAAGAAGCCTAGAAACCCTTGGCAGGCCCGAGAACCCGTTTAACCCCCAAGGCGTCTGACGCCATGCAGCATGTCGTGAAGCCGTGACAGATCACGACGGCAACTCTGGACGCCATCTTTCCACCTGAGCTTTGAGCTGGACTCGTTGTCCCGCTTAACGAAAGAGTGACAAGAAACCCATCGCGCTTATGTTTACGACGAACGGACGCTTGCGAAACGTTTGAACGAAATGCTTGGGTAAGCCTCTCTCCGCTTTCGCAGGTTGCGTCTGGTCGAATATCCTCAGGGGTAGTACGCACTCATGGTTGCCTCGACTTCAGGTGCCCCCTCTTTTGTTTGTTGCGTATGCAGCGCCTTGCAGTCTTAGCGTTAGTGAGCAGATCCTCCTCCCCCCAATCATTGACCGTATGCCGCGGAAGGTCCAGTCAATGCCCCACCTGACATCCTCAAAGCACGGCTCGGCTACTTCCTGGCATCCTCCCTTCTCCAGACCTCCCTGCATCCTGACTTCATGCCAATGCCACAGTTACAGCCAGTCTCTCCCATCCCCCCCCCACACACACACCTCCCTAGTCCCTCCTCTTCCTTTCCCTTCCCCACCTCTCCTCCTCCTCCTCCTCCTCCTCCTCCTCCTCCTCCTCCTCCTCATCCTCCTCCTCCTCCTCCTCCTCCTCCTCCTCCTCCTCCTGCCCCCCCCCCACGTCCCTCTTCCCTCCCCTCCCTCCTCACTACCTGCGTCCCCGCCACCTCTTTCCCTGTCTTTCCCCATCCCCTTCCTCCTCCTCCTCCTCCTCCTCCTCCTCCTCCTCCTCCTCCTCCTCCTCCTCCTCTCATTCGATATCCTCCTCCTCCGCTCCCCCCTCCTCTTCCTCTCGCTTCAACATTCTAACCTACGGACGTGTGCTCTGTCCTGGGGTGCGATCTGGCCACAGCTTTGACGGGAACCTGGCCATGGCGACTCGAGACCTCCTGCAAACGCCTCAACCCTCGAACGCCCATCCTCGATGCTCTCCCCTCCCGCCTTTTTGAGCAGGCACTGGCCATCATGGCGTTCTCATGGGCCTACTAATACACGGTCTCCTTAGAACAGGAGAACGGTCTGATAACAATAGCTCTCGCAGTTGCGGGTAAGAATGAGGGGCCAGAAGGGGGGAGGGAGGGAAGGAGGGAGGGGGGGGGCGGGAGGGAGGGAGGGAGGGAGGGAGGG